TCTGTTTTCTCCGGCTACTCCAGTTTCCTCCCACATTCCAAACACTCATGAATGGAATTGGCCAAATATCCTGATGTAGGACCCTGCACACATATGATTGATATTTTTTGGAGTAATTTACATCATTTAACTGTAGCTTAAAATAAATATTTGGACTCCCCCCCCACCCAAATGTATTGCAATTGTACTATTGTCAGCATGCAATGCGAATTAGAATTCGTTTGGAATCCTCAAAGAGCACAATGTGTCAGAGAAGGGCTGCTGAAAAGATTTTCCATCGGTCTTATGAATCATTATTTTCAAATTTGCCTCAATCCTTTACACAGGAGGTGGTCACACTTTTTCCCAACGCTGGTATGGCACTGGCATTTCTCACAAGGCACCGAAACTGTTATTTAAAAATTATAGTCTATGAGCCCAGAGCGGATGGTGCCACCTGAAGTGGCATCATCCTCACGGTTCAAAATTTATCTGCGTGACCAATATCAGTGAATAATGAGATAAACATTTAAACTAGTGGGGGTTATCGAATGAATCACCCTCAGCCATATAACATTAAATCGGTACTATTTAAGGTTTGCTACCTTAGGTGGTACCGATTTCTGCCCTGGCCGATGGACTATTATCCATGCTGGCAGTTAGGCAAATTAAGTCACGATTATTATCAGCCATAATCAATCCAGGTCGGACTTTACACTGGCCGTGGAGCTGGCTACAGCCTCTGTTTAAATGCCCACTAATGTGCATATGAATGGACATTAAAACAGCTTTCGGGGGGAGACGCAGTAAGAGCAAAACTCAGTTTAACACGTAGAAGGCTTTCGCGACAAATATCATCCATAATAGTTTTTTTTGGGTTAGATCGCGTAAATATAAATGTGTCGTTAAACCCGCCACCACCCGACACAGCAAATTAGTAAGGTTTGTCACGTAAACAGAACGTGCCAATTCATTATGAGTACAACCACAACATTTACAATCTGAGTACTAAACTTCTTGCCCGTGTGATTCACGTGCATTGCATGGGCAGCACACACGCTGTGCTTTTAGAGTGCATGCTTCCAATACAGCGAGTGCGCTGTCTGTATGCACTTCCTATGAAAACACAGTGCGTTTCAGTAGCCACCGACAGGCTCTTCTTATTAACGGACAAATTTGTATGGATAAGTGGAGTCGCTTGGCATAGTCGTATGATTGTCTGTAGTTTATCCATGGAGTCTTGACTGGCCCATATTCCCAGCCCATGGACTATTATCCATGCTGGAAGTTAGACAAATGAAGTCACGATTGTTCAGCCATAATCAATACAGGTGAGACTTTAGATCAGTCGTGTTGTGGGCTACAGCACGCTGTTTAAATGCCCTCTCTCATTTGCATATCAATGGACATTACAACACCCTTTTGGGGGAGACGCAGCAAGGGGGTTGTTCATCTTCGATGGTTTGCATGATGTTTTAATGTTCGGGAAGTTACATCATCACTGCAGAAAATAATCGGCAACTTCATCCTCTGATACACATTAATGTGGATCATAATACATACATATAAGAACAATCCCATGTATAGCGATGTAGGACGATGGGGCGAGTGCCATTAGCGAGCACCTATTAAAGTTAGCGCAGCACACTAAAACGTGGTTTGTCCGACACCATTCCTAATCCGCCTTTGTCTCCCCAGTGGCGATGTTTACACACCTCACCAGGTACTCATTTGAGACTGTGTCGACCTAGGGGAGATACAGGACCGGTTCAGATAATCGTCACCGGTGCTGGCCGCGAGCGGCAATAGAACTCGGGTCGCCGGGTTCGTAGCGCGGTGCGCTAACCGCTACACTACCTGCTCCCCCATAAATCAGTACCCGGGACACACAAAGAAAAGACCAAAAGCGCGTACAGCACTATAAAACATTGATCCAAGTGGTGGAGCGGACATCCGGGGGGTGTAAGTTAACCGTACAGTTCTCTTAGACGTGATTCTATCGCAGCATCCGTGGGGATGCACAGATAGCGCTGGTGCTGAAAGGGCAGCGAGACTCCAGACCACACGCAAGCCGCTGCACACAGACGGAGACCACGGAGACTCTGCAGGCTCCACCTTCAACACGTGGTGAATTGAGCGAGATAAGAACACACGTGCATTGGTGGGATCGGGATAGATGGATAGCCATTGCAACCCCATGTTGGAACCCAAATAAATCAGGTCCGTTATTTCACCACGATGAATGCGAAGCAGAGTGGCATGGGAACTTTAGGAACCTTTGGAGCGTTATCTTGCCAGATTGTACGGTGATTCGGAGTTAATTTTAAAATCAGGAACTTGAGCCATGACATAATAGGGTATTTAAATCTATATACAGCAGTTGGAGCACTTTGGCAATGCTGTACACTTTAACTTCGTAGATACCAGAATTTAAACCATTAATTAATTCTAAAGTACCTCTCCTATGATCACAGGAATAGATCATTATTAACGAGTGAACAGACACTCTTCTGTTTCACCATGTGAATATAAGATTAAAATAAGTAACATTTTCGTCTATCAACCAATGAGCTTTCTGGACTAATGTTGTTCAGCAGCTATCGTTTAAGCAGGAAATCCCAGAGCCAGTTTCGCTTTAGTCAGTCTAATTGTCAGTGCGTGGCCCAAAGAAATGCTGCTGGGTTCTCAGATATCAAAGTACTGTAAAAACGTCCTTATCCTGGAAAGCCTCAAAAAGTTGAAAAACATTCTTTCTGGAGTACCGAATGCTGGGATGTTTGAGGACTATATTTAAATATGCTTTAAAGTACAAAAACAGTCCTTGCAAATACTGACTAGCCAGACGGTTTTTTTTCTTGCCGACGTTGAATATTCAGTAGAGGAAGCCGAATACGGTATGCTCTGTTTAATATCTGGTGTGACTGGGTTTTGTTACTCACAAAATGTTCATTATTTTCCCACGATGAATGTGTAAAGCACGATTAATTTGTCTCAGTCAACAATAATAATGATTCCTCAATATGTCCCAAGTCATGAACTCCAAACACTAATAGGGAAGCACCATGTCTTGACCCGGCAATGAATTTTCTCCACCCAACAGCCTCCAGTGGGCTTAGCCTACACAATCACAATAGTGTTCTCTATTCATTGTTGCAGATAATCTTCATTATACGTACATAGTCTTACATGTTATTTTGTTGTGCAGGCATTAGTGAGCGGACTACGAGCAAACTCGCCACACGCAATAACCTGCTCTCATCCTTGGGTGGGGGCCCAGCCACCCAGCCACCCAGCCACCCAGCCACCCAGCCAACCAGCCACCCAGCCAAGCAGCCACCCAGCCACCCAGCCACCTAGCCAACTAGCCAACCAGTCACCCAGCCACCCATCGACCCAGCCAAGCAGCCACCCAGCCACCCAGCCACCCAGCCAAGCAGCCACCCAGCCACCCAGCCAAGCAGCCACCCAGCCACCCAGCCACCCAGTCACCCAGCCACCCAGCCACCCAGCCACCCAGCCAAGCAGCCACTCAGCCACCCAGCCAAGCAGCCACCCAGCCACCTAGCCAACCAGTCACCCAGCCACCCAGCCACCCAGCCAAGCAGCCACCCAGTCACCCAGCCAAGCAGCCACCCAGCCAAGCAGCCACCCAGCCACCGAGTCACCCAGCCACCCAGCCAACCAGCCACCCAGCCACCCAGTCACCTAGCCACCCAGCCACCGAGTCACCCAGCCACCCAGCCACCCAGCCACCGAGTCACCCAGCCACCCAGCCACCCAGCCACCCAGCCAACCAGCCACCCAGCCAACCAGCCACCGAGTCACCCAGCCACCCAGCCACCCAGCCAACTAGCCACCCAGCCAACCAGCCACCCAGCCAACCAGCCACCCAGCCAACCAGCCACCCAGCCAACCAGCCACCCAGCCAACCAGCCACCCAGCCAACCAGCCACCCAGCCACCCAGTCATCCAGCCAACCAGCCACCCAGTTACCCAGCCACCGAGTCACCCAGCCAACCAGCCATCTGAGTCAGAGCACGACTGACACACACGAGGAAAAAAAAATACTCACGAGCGTCTAAACGCAATAACAACATGATACATGGATAGTGCATTGCTCTATGAACTTGCCAATCCGAGTCCAATTCTCGGCCAAGGTGTGACGTCACTGAATCACAACAATACTTGACCTATTCTTAGCTCTTTCGGTAAAGTCACGTTGAAGGGAAACAATAAAATAATAAAATATATATAAAACAATAAAAATTCTCACGACGTTTCGACCATAACACAAACGGTCATCATCAGGTGTGAAAAACCAACGGCAAGAATAAACAAATGTTTCTTGCCGTTGGTTTTTTTCACACCTGATGACGACCGTTTGTGTTATGGTCGAAACGTCGTGAGAATTTTTATTGTTTTATATATATTTTATTATTTTGTTGTTTCCCTTCAACGTGACTTTACCGAAAGAGCTAAGAATATGAATTACTGCAGTCACGAAAGCTTTAAATCAAAATTTAATACTTGACCTGGCCCTGAGATTCACGCCCCCCCTCTTTACCAACGTGCATTCGCAACTGTGGTGAAGTATGGTCAAACAACTGCCCTGACTGATGCAGCATGGGCATGCCTTTATAAAGCAGTAGACTGTCGGGGGACCAGAGAATACACATTCGTGACGTCGACATTAATTGCACGTACGTACATACATACATACAAAGATACATGCGATACTGCACCTACAACAAGTACAACAACAAAAACTTGAGCTACCATCCCACAATGAATGTACCGCATACCGTTCTAAAACTGGAATTGTACTCGGGCGCACGAGTGAACGCGAGCGTTGTGCGTGCGCCTTCAATGATAGGGGAACTGCCGCAGACCGCAGACTGCAGACACCGTATCCGGCACGGCGAGGAGGAGGGGGCCGCTTGGGATGTCCTGGGGCGTGTAAGACGAGACGGGAGCTCTCTGGCCTCCTCCTCCTCCTCCTACTCCTCACACGGGACACTTACCCACTTATCTTGCTGCAGACGCCGGCCGCTTCCTCCGTGCGCCGAATAATACGACACTGACAACCCCGTTATGTTGCCAGTTTAGTCTTCGAGATATTGAGTCCACCTGCATCGGCAAACATCGAGAAAAATTGAGGTTAGCGTGTTGCCGCATGCAACGTTTTCATGAATTTTATTTTATTCCCTGCAGATGAGTGCGGTGAGCGATATTGAGCCATGTTCGAATTGGACTGTATTGAAAAGTGTGGACTTCCTTACATTTTTTCACTTGATACGTGCAGACTTTAAAGTCATTAATTTCGCATGACAAGGTTATATGAAAATAAGTAATCCGCACATGTAGCAGTGCGAATTACAGGACCATTAGCATCCTTTCTTCCGGATATAAATTGTTCACAAAAGATCACACACGGAAACAGAATAAATCGAATTTTATAGACGAGCCAAACATATGAACCTTATTTTGGGACCCCGCGGTCCCATAAGCCCCCGGCTCTCGCATAAACCGCGTTGCGACGTCATTTTATGTCTGTTGAAGGCGAACGACACGGCAAGCTATTCCTCTCGACGAGCTCTACACGATGCGCTCATCAAAGTTTCAAAGTTTTGTTTCTTCTGCGGAATTCGTCCTCGCTGCTGCCCTTGAACGTGACACGACAACAGAACGATCCGCGCCAGGTGGGTCGCGGCGTTTACGTGCGCGGTGGGACGGAGTCGCCAAAAATAAATTAGTTAATGACGATTTTGACTTCCGTTTATTCGGGACCCCAGGGTCCCGCCATAAGGTTCATTTGAACAAGCTGGATGTACCAAAAATATTTGTACCATCGGCCACATAACACAGAATCAGAATATTTATTTATACTGGGGGAAGAATCCGATAAGCTATGAAGCTCTTTTTCACGGACGTCAAGTAGCTTCACGAAAGTCCAACACGCCATCAATCAGAACCTAGCAACAACACCAGTAGAATTTTTTTTTAATGCCAGTTAATCTGTTGCCACATGCAATGCGCTCATATATATATATTTTTATAGTGATAATCTTTTGGGTTAGGTCATGTCAAAATGTGTTGTAAACCTTCCTCCACCCGACAAAGCCATTTAAGACATTCTCATGTGAATTAAATGTGCTAAATGTATTAGTGCTTCAGAATCAAAATATGTATTAATACTGGAGGAATCCTATGATCTATAAAGCTCTTTCTCACAGATATCCAATGGGGGCAGTTCAGAACGTTACAACCACAAACAACACAAAAATATGATTGGAGTGCAAAGTATAGGAAACATAAAAAAATCACTTGAAAATAGACAAGTAAAACTAAACAACGTTTTTGTTTTATATATCATACTAGGTAATGCCTACTGAGCTATTAGCTCGCTTTTCAGAAGCGACTTGGCCACAAATGATAGCTCACTGAAGTGGCTTATCGCATCAGGATCAGGATCGAACCCACGACCTCCTGCATACCAGGCGACGGAGTTAACATCTCTCCAACACGGGGCAAGGTCTGGTTGCTCATCGCTCCACAGCGTTTTTCTTTGATCCACTCGTGCGGTCTGCGGAGCACGTCTGCCTGATATTGACCTCAACGAAGTGGTTTATTGACCTTATCACGTGGAAAAGCATAGCAACCAAATACTCCAAACGCCTGTTTCTAAACGTGGAGGGAAAAACCGGAGAACTCGGAGACAAATCCACGCGACCACGGGGGGAGAACACGCAATCCATAATTTAGATTATAATCTCAACGCGTGTTGATTCTAAATGTGATTGTTTGGTGAGGAATCTCACAACGTCCCCATGGGTGGAGGAGCGTTTTGTTACGGCACACGTGGATGCACCGCCTCGTGCAAAACAAAATCAATTGTAACTCACAATATCGGTTGTGAGAGCCTACGCATGGAAATTGGACGTCATCTACGGTTCCCCACGCACGAATGCCGCGTGTAACAAAAGTTAACCGCATCGCATTCGTAATGGGCTCGTGAAAAGCGTGGGTCTCTTTTACAATCGGAGGTGTTTCACATATATGTCAACCCCTTATCAGTGCCGACCGTATTAGACCAACTCAGACCTTATTGGTCAGCCCGTGCCCCTTATAGATCTCAACGTTCATCCTACAAAGTCCCATCAGAAGGGAGAAACACAAACAAATAGACAAAAATATGATTTTTTTTTTGCCTGTATTTAAACGGCTGCATGCCGTGTGGACCTTAAAACGAAATTCCCCTGCACAAGAATAATGGGCAAACCGTATGGGTTGACAGGTATGTGTTCATGACTTTGCAGGCACTGATCTGACATGACAAAGTTACGTGAAAATAAATACTGGAAGCCACACACACAGAGACGTGGTCATATGTTGAGTCTCTGTAAATTCTATTTATATTTATTTTTTTACACAGTGACTAGCCAATACATTTGCAAAAGACACCCACCCACGTACTGACACACATATCTACTGTAGATATATATGCTGTATAATATTCATTATATTCATTTTAGCCCACATTCGCATACATGTACAATAAAATATGCAGGTATGCTTACAAAGATAGCCATACAGGCTGTTGAGGCAAGTGTTGGTATAGGAAGCACCGATGAAAGCCAGCAAATGAGGAAGTGTGGCCAGCACCACGCCTGGCCACCTTTGTCTCCTCAGATCCGATGTTCTATACACCGCACCAGGGACTCATTTGAGGCCAAGTCGACCTAGGGGAGGCCCAGGACCGGTTCAGATGGCCATGAGCAGGAATCGAACTCTGGTCGCCATTGATGTAAGCCGTGGCATTGAATAGAACTGAGGTTGCAGGGCTCATAGCTCAGTAATCTAACCACAACACTCCCGCTCCCCACACACATACCGTAAATGCTTGCTCAAAACAAAGATTCCCCGTATAGCCTTTAACATATTGTGAGGGCAAATGCTGTTAGCGAGCACCTACGAAGCCCGGAACGGCACACGATGGGGTGGGTGGCCAGCACCACGCCCGGCCGCCTTTGCCTCCAAAGTGGCGATGTTAACACATCGCACCAAGTACTCATTTGAGGCCGAGTCGACCTAAGGGAGAGGGCCCGGGGCCGGTTCAGGTAATCGTCACCGGTGTTGGCCGTGAGCGGGAGTCGAACTCTGGACGCCCGATTTATGCGTAGCACGCTAACTGCGACACACACACATACGGAGGGCATAGATGTGCACGCAGACGCACAGACATACACAGCACTGCATAAACACACGCACCCGAGCCTCTTACGCAGAATAAACGTCAAGCCATTCCGCGCGGTGACTCAACTGCTGAACACGGAGCTTTGAAAACTAAGGCTACGTCAAGCTGAAACTTTGTTCGAGTTAAATGAAGATGACAACGGGAACTTTTTTATATTTGAACGAGATCATCGGTATCTCGCTTGTGATTACTTACACGTAACAGCTTAGGGACTATTTTAGCACATCTGCTGAACATAGGAGGACCGTGTCAAAGTCTTAGGATTATCCTCTCTCTTGGACATCCCAGCAAAGGAAGCCGTGATAGAATGCAGCTTTCATAAAACAGACAGTTACACAATAGCGTGGCTTACCTGTACACCCATTATTTTGGTTAAAAAAGCCAAACCGAGTCCTTCGTTACGCAAAGACCACAAGCCATTCCACATCAATCAGCGCAATCCACGGTGATGTGTATGTGGGTCGCCATGGTTACCAACGTGTTATTTTTCTCTCTCTCTCTTTAAAATTCCAAGTCTGCTAGGAGATAGAGAAGAAGCCAAACATTTGGCCTTCCCCATTGCTTGCCCTACACTCATCCACTCTCCTCTGTCACCGCTTGTTGGAGACAAAATGTGTCCCTCTACACGGGAAGGATTGTCCCTCCCTTCAAAATGTGTCCCTCCACACGGGAAGGATTGTCCCTCCCTTCAAAATGTGTCCCTCCACACGGGAAGGATTGTCCCTCCCTTCAAAATGCCCAAATCCTGAAGCATCTCATTGAAGAGATCAACCCTCAAGAGAAAGAGCTTTGCTGCTCCTCACATGGGCAATTAAGGTGGAGCTCATCACCTCAATACAGACGTGGGTCAGTGGTGAAAATTCCACGATTCTATGGCAGGGGCGAGTGTATCCACAGGACAACAACTGTTGACCACAACAGTTGTTGAGGAATGATGGGCAACTACCAACCCACTAACCCGGATTCAAACTCGTCCCCTTCCAACTGTGAGCCGCTCATTCTGCCTCTACAGGCTCCCCTCGAACCACGTTGAAGGTTTGGGTTAATTTTTTTATTTAGCGTCCTATATGCCAGCGCATCTAAGAGCACATTTACATCACAACTCATCTCCATTCAATTAACATGGCAACGAGGTGACTTAGCCAGTAGGAGCCAACGATTGCTGCGTTTATAATCCAAACAGCAATTTGGGGCCATTGTTTTTTTTTTTATCGGCATGACCCTCGCGAGTGATGTCACGGGATCTTTTAGCGTCTACTGTGTAAGCAGATGGCGCGCAGTGTTGTTAAGTATGATACGCGTGCACCACAGTGTTAACCAGGGCGGCCACTGAACTCGAACCCTCTGCAACAAGCGCCGAGGCCAATTTTGTCGCCCACTCAACAATAACAAAAACTTAATTCTTCATGCATTTCAATTTAATGTTTATAAAGAGTAATTTAAAACGTAAACGTGAGTTTCTCCAAAAAGGAATAAGGCGATCAGTGGTCTGTGTCCCTGGCACCAGTCAGAAAATATCCTGTTATGATGTTCCCAAACAAGAGCCAACGGATTTGAAATGTAAACCAGTTATAATTTGTTTCACCTAAGAGTTTGTATTTTTCAAGTGGAACACTTAATATGGTTAATATCACATCTCTAACGGTAGTTTTTTTTTTGTTGCTCTGGATAGGAGCCAGGCTGGCCCATCATTGTTGCAGCCAGGCGAGAACGTCCCCATGCATTTCTAAATGGGTCCTGAGTTGATCTGCCAGCCCCAGGCAACGTTGGCTCTCATCAGTGCGACAATTCGGGAGAATTTATCGGGCTGATGAGGTCACTGCTTTGGCTCGTAACTATTGCACATCAAATGTGTATTTTGTCATGAACGAGT